TTATATTTTGTAAAAGTATATTAATATATACTAAGTTATATTTATCAAATTATTAATTTATCTATAAATATACTAAAAATATTATTGATATTAATTTATCAGTAATATTCAAAAATTAATAATATATAAATTTTATTTATTTAATAATAATAAATATATATTATTTGATAAATTAACAAAAATTATAATATACCTTAATTTAAATATGTAAATAATTGTATAATTTTAAAATATTATATATATATTAAAATTTTAAAATTATTAAATTTTTAATAAGAAAGACTAAAATCGCCCTATTATGATATTTGAGAGACTAAAATTGTTCAATTAAAAATTGAGTGATTAAAATTGCACAATTATAATTTTTTAAAAACAAATTACTTAATTAAAATCTTGAAATTAAAATTACACAATTATATTGAAGGATAAAAACACTTTGTTGAAAATTTTGAATAATTATTTCTAATGAAATTATTCTTTCCAATATATATTTTTTTGGCACAAGACTCAACCAGACCTTGCGTAAACAAATTAAGAAAATTATATGGATGATGTAAATGATAAAATATGTAACTCGTTTGTTTGATGCATGATTTTTTAATAGGCGGTACTCACAAAACAGAATGCTCCAACGAGAATACAAAACAACAACCAACAGAAAGCTTTAAAACAAAATACACACGTGTACAGTACACAGACAGGGATAGAGAGAAAGACCGCTGGGTAAAATAGATAGATTCCTTGCAATTTCGGAAACAATACTGCATAGTATATTTACATGTCTAATATTAATTTTACTTTTCAATTATTTATCCTTGCAAGTTTATAACCTATATTTTTATAATTAAAAAAAAGTTAGAAACAATTATTGAAAAGTATATTCATAATCTTAGACCAGTTTATCATTATTCATTAATTTCAAGGTATGAATTTTAGTTTTGCCAATAAAGATTTTCAACATGCATGATAAAGAAATAAAACTCTTATCCATGCTTAAGGAAGTGAGTTATATATCTGTTAATCGTGCTAAATCTGGTTGGAAATGAAAAAATGTTCTATTGCCTGTAATGGTCCTGAATTGTTACCTATAGAGAATATTCATGGTTAGAACAGAGTATAACAGACATATGGTCCAGTGCATAAATATTTAGTTTTGGTAAGGCATGGAAGGGATTTAGAATATGATAATAGTGTTGAGAAATGCCTAGTAACATGTTGTATATACTATATAGATAGACAAGACTGCCAAGTATATAAATTTTGTAATTTATGAAGAAAAAAGAAGATGTATTAAATGTGAAATAAAAAGTAATTAAGCATGATGATGTGATAGAAGAGTGGTTAATAGTATATGGAAAAGTAGTGTATTATGTAGAAAGGGGAAAATGTGTTGGGGTAAGTGAAGTTTGGGACGTCATAAGCTGGCATTACCTAGCTGGATTAGAACCCCACCTCCCACCTCCCACCTCCCACCAGAGACCCACCGGGCCTTACTAGCTCTTGTCGTCCTAATTTTCTTTATTTATCTCCCTCCTTCTTCTCTTCTTCTATCCATATTCCATACCTACCCCTTCCCCCTGAAACCCCATATTTTGACTTGAAATCTCACCATTTTTGACTTCACTCCACATTCACACCTACCTTATTGCCCTTCCAGCAGAATAAAATCCTTAATCCTCTTGTGCTGCATTGCTATTGTTATTGCTATTGCTATGACTACTACACTCTTACCCTTCTCCTTCACGGAGCTAACCTCGTACCTCCTATGCTTCATCCTCCTCCTAATTCTCCTGGAACAGATCTCGTACCTAGCCAAGAAGGGTTCAATCCCAGGGCCATCCCTGGTGGTACCCTTCCTGGGCAACGCAATCCCATTGGTCCGAAACCCCACCAGCTTCTGGGACCTGCAATCCTCCCTGGCCAAGTCCACCCCCCTAGGAATCTCTGCCAACTACATAATCGGAAACTTCATCGTGTACATCAGAGACACCGAACTCTCCCACAAAGTCTTCGCCAATGTCAGGCCCAACGCCTTCCACCTGGTGGGCCATCCCTTCGGGAAGAAGCTCTTCGGCGAACACAACCTCATCTACATGATGGGCCAGGACCACAAAAACCTCCGCCGTCGGATCGCCCCCAACTTCACCCCCAAAGCCCTCTCCACCTACACCGCACTCCAGCAGATTATAATCCTAAACCACCTCAAGTCCTGGGTCTCCCAGTCCCAGTCCCAGTCCCAGGCCCAGGCCCAGGCCCAGGCCCATAATTCCATCCCCATCCGCATTCTCGCCCGCGACATGAACCTCGAGACCTCCCAGACTGTCTTCGTGGGCCCCTACCTGGGCCTAAAAGCCCGCGAGCGCTTCGAGAGGGATTACTTTCTTTTCAACGTTGGCTTAATGAAGCTCCCGATTGACTTCCCCGGCACCGCCTTCCGAAACGCCAGGCTCGCCGTCGATCGCCTCGTCGGAACCCTAGCCACGTGCACGGAAATGAGCAAGGCAAGGATGAACAAAGGGGAAGAGCCTTCCTGCTTAATCGATTACTGGATGCAGGATACCTTGAGGGAGATCCAGGAGGCCGGAGAGGCGGCGCCACCCTTCTCCACCGACGCCGAGATCGGCGGCCACCTCTTCGACTTCCTCTTCGCGGCGCAGGACGCCTCCACGTCGTCGCTGCTGTGGGCGGTGGCGCTGCTGGACTCGCACCCGGAGGTGCTCGCCAAGGTGCGCGCGGAGGTCGACGGAATCTGGTCGCCGGAGTCGGATTCGCTGATTAGCTCGGAGATGCTCCGGGAGATGAAGTACACGCAGGCGGTGGCGCGTGAGGTGGTGAGGTTCCGGCCGCCGGCGACTCTGGTGCCGCACATCGCGGCGGAGAGGTTTGAGTTGACGGAGACGTACACGGTGCCGAAGGGAGCGATCGTGTTTCCGTCGGCGTTCGAGTCGTCGTTTCAGGGGTTCACCGAACCGGACCGGTTTGAGCCGGACCGGTTCTCGGAGGAGAGGCAAGAGGACCAAATATATAAAAGAAACTTTCTTGCGTTCGGGGCTGGGCCCCACCAGTGTGTGGGTCAAAGGTATGCGTTGAATCACCTTGTTCTCTTCATTGCGATGTTCGCCACGTTGATCGATTTCAAGAGGGACAGAACCGACGGTTGTGATGAGATCGCCTATGTGCCTACCATTTGCCCCAAAGACGATTGCAGGGTCTTTCTCTCTAAGCGCTGCGCACGGTATCCTTCCTTCCCTGCCGTCGAGGACCTTGTCAAATGACCGCAATGCCCTTCTTAGTTGTTGTTGTTCCAAGCAGGTTATCCATTTTTTATTAAATTTCATTTCTGCTTTGTGTTTAGCCGCCACAAAATTGTGTTGACTTTTTTTCTTAAATTTGTTTTTTATAATGTTGCAATTCTTGTAAGAGTTCGTGTATGTGAATGTGAGAGGTCATTGGATGGTGGATGATTGGTTGGTTATTAGCAATCAAATAAAACGATGAAACAACAAAAGGAGACACCAAATTCATTGAAATGGCCCTTTTGGGACGCTGCTATATCTTTGTATCTTCTGTAAAGATCTAAAAAAGGTAGTTTTCTTTTGGAAAAGTCATATTGTAGACTTGTGATTTGTTACTCTGGAATCTGGATGATGATATTATTGTTGTTATTATAATAGGTAATAGATGCTATGTCTGTATGCTCACGTGTTGAAAGTTGAAACCAGAATAAGAAATAGAGTGTAACTTCCTTTTGAGTGTTTGAAAGAGACTGATTAGAAAATTAATAAAGTTAGTGGTAAAAATCGTGGGGCTTGTATTATTAGTGCATCCTTTATTCACCATTAATTGAAAAGGAATGACCACATAAGGCTAAGACAGATGACAAGAGGCAGGTATTGGCCGTAGTGTTATAAACCTTAGATATTAATGGCAGAATATTTAAACAAGTGACCTAATATCAGGGGGGCATGCTACGGTTACCCCTCCCTTAGCATTGAACCAACCATTCTGTGAGCAGATTTTGACGTTTCTTGTATCTATCAAAATCTCCCAATCATGAAGCAAATCGGAAAAATTATTAGGTGGTACTGCCATTCATGGAACAAATCAAAATAATTATTAAGTAATCTCGAACTATATGGAGCTTTAATCGGTCTATTTACATCTTTACATCGTTTCTAAATATATTGAAATCCATGTAGATGTATAGGGTGCTAAAAGGCCTTGCCATCATCCTTAGAGAAGACAGTCCTAAGATAGTTTCAACTTCAAGCCCTCCTTCCAAATCAGTATAAAATTAGGAAAAGTGAAGCAAAAATTCCAACAAAAGCATAGTGAAGAACTGAGGGAGTATGTTGAAAAATTCAACCAAGACGACCTATAAGTATATAAGGGCTAATGTGATGTGACCATGGGTGAAACTACACCTCATCAAAGACCGTTGAATGTTATTGAATGTTCACAAATTATGACCGTTGGAATTGAAAGTCCTGAACACGTTGGCACTTGACAACTGTTGGAATTGAAAGTCACTGAACATTAAAAACAATAACGTTAAAATCTGAACATTAAAAGAAATATGTTACCATATATTAGTGTTTTAAAAGTTGACCCGAACTAATAACTAAGCTGGTTCATTCGAGTATCTTGTTAGGTTGGATATGTCATCAACTTGGTACATCTCACTTTAACTCGATCGAAATATGTACATAATAGAAAATATTTATATAATTATTATATATATAGATACACATTTAAATTTTAAAAAACAAGTTTTATAAACTTTTATTTCTTGTAAAACCTACATTTAGTAATAAAATTTTGTCACATTACATAAGAAATTTATTTATATATTTGAATATATAGTACATTAATAACATCAAATGAAACTTTAATATTTATTGTAAAAAAAAATTTACACTCAAACTTCTTAAAAATGTTTTAAGTTTAACTATTATGAATAAAAAAAATATTGTTAAGAGATGAAATTCATTAAAAATACTCAATCATATTTCTTGATAAATATTAGTCAAAGAGAAAGTCGATAGATATTTCATAGTAAAAATAATTATTTTATAATTTTCTTTCAATTATATTTTCTTATTTCTTGCTCTCTATATATTTCTGCGAATTCAGATAAAAGGCTTGTTCGCACACTTATTTATCATGTAAAAAGTTTAAAATAATATTAATTTATTATATTTTCAATTATGTTTTTATTTTTACGTAATCCTTAAATATTTTACATGCTTATCATGGTCAGAGAAAAATTTCAATCGATATACGAATGTAATTTTTTAATATATGAAGATGTGAATTATATTTCTTCATTAATAATCCCTTCAATTTGAAATATAAGGAAAAAATTGTATTTATTGATCTTAAATATTAGTAAATTTTAACTAATCTCACTTTATTTAATGTTGCCATCTCCAAAATAGTGTTTTCTTCAGTTAATTGGGATTATATTTTTAATATATATTTTTTAATTTTTTATATGATAGTTTCAAAAATTATATTATTTTTTATACGAGATTAACAAACTCCATTTTAACAATATTTATTGAAAAAAGTAGAAAAAATTATTGAAAAGGTAAAAAAGTTAAAAATAAATTATTAAAATTTGAACTCACATAAAAATCATTCTTTTTAATTACCACTTTTAGGTTAATGTTAAAGAACCATAAATAATGAATAATTAAAAGTATATTATTTTACATTATTAATTAATTTTTTTAACTAATTAATTATTTTATTTTAATTAAATTTTTAAAAAATTTAATAAATTATTCTTTTTTGAAAAACGTTTATAAATGTGATTTTAAATACTCCATTTGTTTCATAGCAATTGCATTTTAAAATTTCTGCAAATTGACTAAGACTAATAATAATTGTATAACTTTTTGATACAATTTTACTAAAACAACTTATCATTTTAATAATAGATTTGTTTTAATTATATTAGTTGAATAATTTGTGAAGAGACAATTTAGAAAAAAATAACAGTTAAAATATATTTTTTAGTTTTTATAATTTATTCCTTATATAGTTTAAGATAACTTTTGTAATCCTAATATTTGTAGCTTTTTAATTCTTTTAATTTACTCTTTTTGTTATTTTTTAACATATATTTTATAATGACATGGGAGAGATTTTTCATTTTGTAAAAATAAAAATAAAAATGTTCAAACAATGGACGTTACTTACGAAAATACAAAATAAGTATGAAGTGTTAATATGCTTAATTTAAAGTAATTCAAGTAAAATAAATTCAGTATCAAATATATAAAATTAAATTAATACTTTTGTCTTGTCAACACAAAAAAGACTATGTTACAAAAAAAAAAATAATGACATGGATTAGAAATATTAAAAGAAAAGTAAAAGATTAATTCATTTTAAAATATTTTTTAAATACTAAAACCGTTGTGATTATGAGATAAAAAAAAAAGTTAGAATCACAGCATATAATTTATAAAAAAATATATAAATTTACATTTATTTTTTCTTTTAACTCATACATTTATGGGGATTGCTCCGGTGCCCTCTTATTTGAAGGGGTTTTGGTGCCCCTCAGTACAAAAGTTGGGTTTTTAGGGGCAATAAAGTAAATTGATAGCCTTCGGTCAATTTATCAATTTACCTTATTGTCCCTAAAAACCCAACTTTTGTACTGAGGGGCACCAAAACCCCTTCAAATAAGAGGGCACCGGAGCAATAGGCTACATTTATGTATTTCTCTTTCTTTGATCTACTTGCATGCAGGGTAAGTTTATCGTAAACAGTAATAGCAGTGAAAGTTGGTGAGTGGTTGCGTTTGCTAAGTAGATTGTAACATGCAACGAGGATGTATGGATGTATGGTGAAAGCTGTTTTGGTATAAAATAGAAATTGTTTGTGACAGATGAGACAGGAAAGTGAAAATGTGGGTGGTGTGTGTGGTGTCCCATGCACATGTTGCACTGTTACGTTATGTTATGTTATGTTACTCTCTTGGAATTCGGATTCATTCATCCTTCTGCTGTCTCGTGTCTTCCCACTCCATTCTCACATTTTTACATCCTAGTTGGTTGATAGTAGTGAAAATAATAAAAAAATAAAGTAAAAAAATAAGTGAATTAAAATAAAATAAAAATTTAATTGTTTAATTTAAGAGAAATAGGTAATAAATAAGTGAAAAATAATATTATACATATTTAATAAGGTGAAAAAAAGGTAAAAATATTTTATTTAAAAATAAAAATAGAGTAAAAATAAGTAAACAAGAAAGAAATAGAAAATAAAAATAAAAAATAAAAAAAAGATATATGAAATAAATAAATAAAAATTAAGAATGGAATACAAAATACAAAATATTTTAATTTTTAATAAATATTTTTTATTTTAATCAATTAAATTAAAAAAAATAATCAACCATAATGATATTACAATTGATTAAATGCCTTCTTTTAATCAGATGTGAGGCTCATAAAAAAAATAAAGGAAAAATATAAAATGACTATTTATTTAAATAAATATGTGACTTATTTAAATGAATTTTTTGTTGAAAAAATTATTGTCATTTCTTGTTAAGCATAGAAATAAAAAGATATGGACTTATAATTTCAAAAAGAGTTTATAAAGCTTTATTTAAAATAGAAACTTTATAAACTTTTTTTTTTCTAGAATCAAATTGAATTATTGTTCAGAGAAATTATCTTTTATCATCATTAAAGTTTTTACGAAATTTTTAAACTTTCAAATTTTTTAACACTTATCAATAATTTACTTAATAATATAAAATGATTATGAGTAATATAATATTATCATAACTTATTATATATAAATTTTTAAAAATTTTATCTTATTTAAAAACTCATTTTATAATGAGAACTTTTAAACAAAAAAAAATCACCTCTACATAATACATAATATAACAACTTCAAGAAAAAAATACCTTAAAATTAATTATATTTAAATCAATAAATATATAAAATTAAATTTAATATAATATTTTCACTATAAAAAACATCAATAAGTAAATTTAATATAATAATATTTGATAAATTTTTTAATCAAATTTAAATATAAAAATAAAAAATAAAAAATATTAATTTTAAATTTGACAGAATAAAAACAAATTTATTCTAAATTTAAGAAATTAAAAATATATTAAAATCGTAAAAAAATTAATTCTAACTAATTCTATCATGATATGGATTATGTTTTGTACACAGTGATTAAATCTAATTTGTCTTGCTTGGTGCAAATGTTATTTAATAAAAATAATATAAAATTATTATTGTAGAAGATCATTTGTTATTCTCTTCTAATTATTTATTCATCCTTATTTAAAAATTTAAAATGTGGTAGGAGTCTGACATCCTCATCCACAGCCCGCAGATAAGGAGTCAAAGAAGATGAAAAAAGAAAGGCTATGAATATGATATGATGAGACATAACATACTCACTTATCGACACTGACATTCTGACAAATCTATCTCAACTTTCTGGAAAAACCTTCTTCAGTTTCAACAACAACAAAAAATAAAAACCCTTCCTTGGGGTTTTTGACATCTTTGTCGGGATGAAAAAGAATAGTCTCGTTATATACTTTATCTTATTTTTTGGAGTTGAATCACCGTTATATAATTTATATTTTAAATATTTATAATAATATTATACTTTTAAAGATTAAGTTAATTTAATTCTATTAAAATAATTATTATTTTTAATTTTAAAACACAAATTTTAATTTTTTTTATAAATTTAAGATATTGATTAAATTTACTTATATAAAAATTAGAAAATCAAATTGATGTTCAGAAGAAAAAAAATATAAGCATAAAAAATCATGTAAAAATAATTAAATTTCATGAGCAGTTATAAAAGAATATGATATTATTGTTTGTTGAACTCATTTTCACATATTTTTATCATGTTTATGATTTTCTTGAATTAGAATATTAATTAAATTTATAAACTTTTATATAAGTGAATTTAATAAAATAAATTTTATATTAAATTTATTAAAAAAAATTAAAATTATGTTCTAAAATTGAAAATCATCATATTTTAATAGAACTAAATTAACTCAAATTAAAAAAAATAAAAAGATAAAATAAAAAGATAAAAAATAAAATAAATCTTAAGAAATTAAGATAAACGAAATATTCTGCACACAAATAAACAAAGACATTAATTTATTGTGTGAAGGTTGTGTTGTGGACTATAGGTGCCTGGTGCCTGTAGTTTTCTTGATGAAATTAACTTTATAATTACCCAATTGAAACTTTTGACAGGCTTTGAGAAAGGTGTTTATAGGTTAGTTTTTTTTTTTTATTTAAAATTTTTATTTTATCATTATATTGTTTTAGTTCATATTTAATTAAATTAGTTTCTTTTTTGAGTTTTGATGTTTTTTTATCAATTAAAATCAAATCAATATGATTACCCTGAGTTATTTTGATTCAAGCCATAATAGAAAAATCACTATTGTTTTTTAACTGTCTATTTTATATAAATATTTAATTTTATATTAATGTAAGATGAAAATATATTTTTGTTAGTTAATATTTTTATTATTAGATAATATTTATGTAACATTAAATGTTTTTCTTATTTGACATTTAGTAAGAGACCAACAGTTTATTGAATGATAAAAGAATCACTACGTTAATCTCTGTATTATAATGGATAATATCTTTATATATTAACATTTATAATGAATAATTCAAATATTATATGATTATTTGTGGTTTTTAATTTTATTTAAAAATCATGAATAACTAGCAGTGCACATAGACAATGTATAAAAATTCTACAGTCATTTAATTACAATTTTCATGTGTAAGTTTGTTACTTATTAAAATGTGTACAATAAAAAGAATGTTTAGCATTTTGATTACTGATATAAATAATTATTTTTGCGGGTTGTTTAGCATTTTTCTGTGTATATATAGGGGAAAGAATGTTGAAGGCAAAACAAAAAAACTATCCATGAGTTAAACAATTTTTTTGATAGGAAGTTTCTTCGGAGTGAGAATTAAGTAAACTGTTTAAAATTGAAATGGCATATAATTCAATTTAAATAGATAAAGTGAGTTGGTTACTATTGAAAATGTTAAAAATCCAAAGCAGGTGATATCGGTGAATAAAGATGAATTTTGGTAAAGGAACCAATAATACTGCAGGAATGGGTTACAAAAGACGAGTATTTAAATTTTTTTTAACCAACTGATAGATGAGTACTACATATTATTATATATTCCCTTTCATTGTGAATATAAATAATAAAATAAATATTTCATACTAACTAAAAAAATTAGTTAATATCATTTAATTGCATTAATTCCATTTAAAAATAACTTAATTTCTTAAGTTATCTTTTCTTAAAAGTTGAATAGTTAAAATTTACTTATATTTGAGATAAGAAACATGACTTGCATTTGCATATATATATATATATATTCAGAATCGAAGGATGTATCTATGTACACATCCATTGATAATCAAGTAAAGAAAAATCATTTAAAATTATCGACATGTATGTATTCTTTTAGCTATCCTAATTCAACTTGTTAAGAATTTTACTTCTGAACGCTAAAATTGCTACTCAGACAGATGGATTTGAGGACTACTTTGTTGAAATGCGAGGATGAAAATAAGTGCTATAATACACTGTTTAAACCATATTTATTGTCATTAGTGTAGCAAGAAAGGGCATTCATATGTGTTGAATGTTGCCCTTGAAGTTACGTCTATCTATCCGATATTCATGCTTCCATGAAAAATGATACATTTAATGAACAGTCAAGTCCAACCGAAACTAGCATGGACGAAACGAAGACAGCTTTGATGGTGAATACTGGATGTAGAAGATAATGAGGAAAACTATCGTCAAGTTAGAATAATAAATTCGACATGTAACGCAAAATGTGTTGGGAAGTTGTAATTTGAAAACCCGGGAGCTCGGTCAAGAATACCATGCAGAGAAAAAGAAAACTAAACAAGGACACCCAAATACAAGACCTACACGTTTTGATGGATGCAAATCTAAGGAATTGGGACCTTTTATGCTCATGGTTAGGGATTTGACATTTGAGTAAAGTTACGGCTGTAACAGTGGAGATAGGTGTCAACGTGGTAGGAATATTGTTTATGCAAATGCAATAGTCTCCGCATTTGTACGGAACACTTGCGATAACAACAAATTGTTAAAATGGTGTGAGGTATGCATTTTGAAACCAGAGTAATGAATTGCAATTTTCTGACTTTTCTTTATATCCCATTCTGCTAAAGGAGGTCACGGTCCTCGAAACTGTTCAATTGCGTCACTTGTTTACCAATCCATACCAAAATGTTATGCTGAAACAAGACCCACATACCCGCCAAGTAAAGCCAAAACAGATGATATAAGATAAGCACCTAATACAATATTTGGTTCTCTGAACCCACGTAACTGGAGGCGATAATGAAAGGGAGGAATTCTCAAAAGACGCCACCACGCTCCCTGGAAGCCCTTAGTTAACTTGAAGTAGAAAACCTGATACAGAGAAAAGAAAGCAATAAGCTATTAAAATAAGAACTTCTACTTGTAATATTAACTTGTGATAACAGCTTGTAGTTTCTAATTCTAGCCACAAACGAGGGTACACCCAGCTAGTCAGTAGAAGCATAGACATGAATACGTACAATTTGAGGATATGTCGGATACGACTTAATCAAGAGATTTGACACTTTTAAAGTGAACAATATATTTTAGAAAATAATGTATAATAGACCTAATTACAAACTATTTTAGATTAAGGACCTAATAAAAAAATTACCAAAAAGTACAAAAACGAAATGATATTTTAAATCTATATAAAAAATGGTTGTCACTACATCTAATGTATTGTTGGCTTTAGCACTAGTAGGTCCTCACACTCATGGTGTTATCTTGAAAAGATGTCTTAATGGATTAAAAAGAAGAGAGTGTTTATAAAATACCTTTATCTTAACTCTAAGTGATGTGTAGCTTTTTGACAAATTGGAACAATAGAGAAATATAAGAAAGCAACACATGGCATGCTAGAATATGTAAAACACAATGGTAACCAACTAATGAATGATCTAGATTCTATACATTCACTAACAACCGAAAATAATTGAATGTTTTCTCACGAGAAAATAAATGCATTCCAGAAGTGCTAGGTAAAGAGACTCAAGCCAAAAGAATGTCAATGTAGCAACCTTCTTTCAGTTAGACAACCACGAATTAGAAACACGATAAAAGCTAAGGATTAACTGTGACTTAAAAGTGAAAATGGAATAAGGACATCAGTCTGCCAAAAAAATAGTGAAGAAACAACGACATGGTGCAATGATATATTGAGCTATGACCCATGACAATCTTCGAAACAAAGATTTGCTTGACACTCCAAAGCTCACCCCCTTACAAAAGGTGGTATCTGAAATGAGTTAGACCATATGCAAAATACAATACACGGAATATATACGAGAAATGTTATAATAATACTGGTGTAACTTTTGTACTAAGTATTATACCGCTTAATAACTTTATATTAAATGTGAATTTTGTAAATCTAACCGTTAGATTGAAAGTTTTTTACTCTTAGATCATATATACAAAATTTTATATTAATCCAAGATAATTTGATACTTTATTCTTATAAAACAAAATTGACGTAATATATACATTTCAAAATATACTAAAATTTGAAAATTTTAATTACCTTCAAGTTGTTATTCAATTTTAACAAAATTTAATATAAACACAAAGTAATATGATCTTTCAATCTAACAGTTGGATTTACAAAATTCACATTTAATATAAAGTTATTAAGCGGTATAATACTTAGTAAAAGTTATACCGGTAGTATTAATATAACCTTTCTCTCTCTCTCTCTCTCTCTCTCTCTCTATATATATATATATATATATATATATATATATATATATATATATTTGAACTTCTATAGCTAACATATAAAAACGACCAAAATAGAAAATTTTGAACTTAGTAACAGCCCTCAGCACCCTATCACTTATAAATTTGTTACTTCTTCCTTCTCACACCCTTTTTACCAATAACCGATGTAAATTAGAGACAGACAACAATAAGTAAATTTGAACTCAATGTGGTATTGTAATATTGAAATAGCCATTGCCTCTCCATCTTAATTGTGGGAATCTCAGAGCAGGGTAAGCGTCACATGCACTTGAAATGTGAATGGGCATAAAGTTCATTTGGAAACAAATAACATAAATGCCTTTGAGCATATTAATGAGCATGTTTTAATCATATAAAAGAAAAAGCAAATTTCAAACTAATGTATGGAAGCATTAGAAGCATGGGACAGACCTGAACAATAACTGACAACGACTCAACAATGAAAACTCCAGAAGAAATGAGCAGTGGGAAGAACATTCCAGTACATGCAGCCATTGCAGCTAATGCACCACCAAGTGCCAAAGATCCTATATTACCCATAAATATAGACGCTTTGTATCTGTTGTGTAGAAGAAAACCAACACAAGATCCAGCCATTGAAGCTCCAAATATAGCAAGATCTGGTTTGGCATATCCATAAATAACAAGCACATCAAAACCAAAATGTAACTAGAACCAGGTGGTAATGGGAGATAATGATCAAGATTGCATTAGAACAGAAGAATAAAAAGAAGGCATTTTTAACAGAGCATGGAAGTCATTAATGTCATTTTAGAAAGCTTAAGATATAGTATAGTGATCCTACACATAAAATAATGTGAATTAAGGATATGGATAGTGTTTTTAAACAACTGCAATCTTATGGTAGACATTTTTTTAACCAAGTTTTACTTTCAACAATTTAACATAAAACTATATTATTTTAAGGGATCAGATTTGCACAGTTTACAGAAAGAACTGCAGGGAATCCTGATCCTTGAATTAAGTTCTCATGAAGACTAACTTTATCAAGTCATATATTCTTACTGCATCAGCTATGTTCAAATGCAAGGCTGCAAGGCAACAGTTAGATAGCCAAAATTATATTGTTTATAGCCTATGTTCATCATTGTCATCCGGGGAATGGAAGAGAGTCGTGTTACATCCTCAGCAAGTAAAACTTGCCGATACACCAAACATGGACTTACAGGGGTAGATGGAAAGATGCCAAAAAAAGAAAGAGACACATGGTTTTGTTTAACTTAAACATGTCACACACAAGATACAAGTGGGATGGATAAAATGGAGAAAGAGGTCAAAGGATTATTTGAGATCGCAAAGTACCTACCAAACTCAAAGCTAAGTTTTCTGACATTGTTATATGCCTGACTATACTCTGATACTAAAGAGACAAGAAAAAAATATGATAAGAGCAGCAGAAAAGAGAATGTTAAAATGAATGTGTGACACAAAAGGATAGGACACAAAATGATTGTATATGAGGGGATATTGATGTAGCATGAATTAAGAAAAAAGTGACAAACAAACAATTAAGGCAGTTTGGACACATACAAAGGTCACTAAGAGCACCAGAAGTCCAAAGGAGAGTAGATTGCATGGTTTTTAGTCCTACAAAAAGGGAACGAGATCCAAAAGGACATTGGAGAAAGTTATTAAGAGGGATATCATGATAAATAATATTTCTGAAGATTTGGTCCTTAACTTAGCCAAATGATGTCATGTGAATATGTGATCCATATAGACAACCTCACCTAGTGGGATAAGGCATTTTTTATTAGTTTTTGTAATTTATCTATCTATATATATTACTTTTAATTCCTTTTATTGATTACAGATTGAATTTGAACATGGAACTGGAAAGATTTTAAAAGGAATATCTGGCTTAAAGATATTCTCAAAGTCTACAGTTGATTTAAAAACTTGCTACTAACCAGAACATATTGGAAGAACAGCTATTGACATTCCAGTTAACGCCAATGCAGCGGTACCTCCAGCTAGTCCATCAAGAGCATCTGCTAATTTAACACCACTTCCCAAGGAAACAAAACAAAATGAAGTCAACAGTTGGTAATATCGTCCCAAATACACAAGGCCCAGTGGTAGAGGAATCAGCATCTTCCTGCATGTAAGTAAAAGGAAATGAGATGAAGGAAACATGTGCAATTTGTCACCAGGTCAATTAAACAGATACCCTAACAGATAAATGAACAAACAAAAAGCCTCACTTATGAGCATTGTCATCTACAATTTACAGTTTACAGGATTGCACACAAAATATGTTCTTACACGACTTCCAATTTTTTAGTTTTCCAAGAGTGTTTTAGAGACAATTTTCTAATAGTTTAATGTCAAGCACAGATGGGCCTGTGTAAAATTGAGGGTGCCCCCATAAAGTTAAATTCTCTCCCTCGTCTCCCTCTACTAAAAATTAATAGCAAACAACCTCTAGTAAAAAAAAAGTTGTTTTTGTTCTGATGAGAAGTACCATTTTCAGAACAACCAATGGATGACTCATAGTCCAACAAAAAATAGAAAACTTAACAATCACAAAGAACCTGTGAAGCTGTGTGTAAAGCCACTTTTGTGGCAAAACAAGTCAAAAATAGGAAGACACAGGCTGTAAATTTTCAAGCATAGCTGGCTGGGAAGTAAAAAATTCCTACCATGCATTTAATAACCATGCTCCACCCTTTGGCTATAAAATGCAGCTCCTATGCTTCATTTTAACCATCCCAAAAATTGTAGCTCTTCATTCAAGAGAGTTGTAATTGTTCTCTCATTGTATTTAAAGAGAGAGGTTGTAATTTCTCTTTTACTTGGTGAAAATATTTCTCTAGTCTTGCTTGTGGTTTTTCCCTTATCAATTGAGGGTTTTCCACTAAAAATATTGTCTGTCAATTCCTATCTTCTCATATCTAATTTTAGCTTAGAGTTATTACATTGTTACTCCGATACATAACAACACCAACATGATTAAAAAAAATTTCTCTTCTCCCTTTTGGGTAGCATTGCTAAGCACATGTCGTATCTTAAGCTGTATCATGACAAAAGGTGTAAAAGTACAATTGCTGCATTTGATTTCAACTCTCCTTTTAATAATTTGATCAAGTTCGAAACTTGGGTAAATAAAAAATAAAAATGAAACTTGAATGTCTGAATTAAGTCACTATATTACCTTCACATTAAACTACAGTCTCAACTTGAGAGTCAATAGAGTTTGAAGAGAATGGAGAAAAATTAGTTTCACAGATAAAATCCATGTTTGACATTCATCAATTGCATTAGTAAGATGAAATGAACATTGTATACTAAATACAAAATTTTATATCACTAGTGAAAATCCTTTCATTTCATTCATCCAACCAAACATTTCAAACAGAAAAGGTTAAAAACTATTGACTGTATTTTTACTATAAGGCTAAAGAAAATCTTCATATTATTTTTTAGTCATTGGTTTAACTTGCACAAAAAGGTTAAAAAGTCATGCTTGTAACTGTCTGTGAAATGCATTCTATGAGAACAGATATGTGAGTTACCATCAGAAAAATGCTGATCAGAGGAGTTACAAGAAAGTATACATGCCATAGGGTGAAGCTATACTGGCGATGTCCAACCAAAATGAAAACCATGTTCCAACAGCTACCTGTGTGGTATTAAAAATGAAGATTTAATAAAAAGATAGCATAGCTGTATGCATTGGTCAAAACATAAACCCTATTTTAGTCCTAATTTTTCATTTTCAACTTAAATACTACTGAGCAGCCAAATTTGGATTCTTTTTGGGGTGGGGGTTAAATCAACAAATCAATAAGCATTTTAGAACTCCAAAAAAATTGCTCCTAATTAAAAAAATAAACCATTCACCTCCAAAAGGACTTCTGTCAATGTAGGCAAACCTCTCCAATGTTTTCTGGTGAGTATTAATATATCACTTAGTAAACCAACTGCAGCAAATGCGATAGTTACACCAGCTGCCCCAGACATTTCTAAAGATGTGGAACTGGCAAAGACATGAGCAACAATTACACCAATAGGTATAAAAAGCAAACCACCCAGTGTGGGTGTCCTCTTTTTCATGTGATGCCTTCCAGGCACTTGTTGCCTGATTACATGGATACTTTTAAAATGACAAAAAATTGGGACACCGACATAGCCAGCAAAAGAAACCAAAATGGCCGATATGAGAAATGGGCGCGTCAAATAAAAAGGTGATAAGGGAAGTCTAACAATTCTCCATGCGCACCAATCCACATACAAAAGCAGTAATGTCAAGACGATTATAAGCCCCATAGTGATGAAAAAACCAAGTTTGGTCCTGCAAACATATTAAAACCAGAACTGGGTTACCATAGCATCACACAAGTGGAAGGATAATTTGTAAGGATTGAAGTAAAAGTTGACGGGCAAGGCTATCAAGCATTAAGTTATCAACTATACTAAAATGCATTTCCAGCTTTCACTAAAAACTTAAATAAAATATTATGTTCATTAAGGTTATACCTTAGAATTTTGATTTCTATCAAACTTTGAATCATTATTTTCATCATGCCTTTTTGTAAAACTCACATAAATATTATTATGATGATGACAACAACGATGATAAACATAAAAGTATAATAAGATCACACCTTATGAAGCACAACATAAAAGTATAATTAGATCACACCTTATGAAGCACAGACATTAGACACCAATAATGTCCAAAATATAAGACACCGCATGTGCTGTGTGTGTGTATAATTAAACATGAACATCATTTGTAAAAGGTCTAAATAGAAAATCAAGATTTATGTATTCATTGTCATCTCAAAAGAACTTGTCGAGTATTCTATTTTGCCTATGATAATGAATCTCAAGAAAAACACTAAGAGACAACATTATACAATTTGAATTTGAACACATTGTTTCTTTACAAAATAGATTCTAAAACAAGATGATGAATTATTGAACTGTCTTTCACCTTCAATCCATCCATCTACTACCAAAAACAATTCTTTCATGAGCTTGTGTACACAAGAAGCTTTTCTGAGTTTTTCTGCCTCTTTGAAACTATTTAAAAAGAATTAAAATTTTGGTACCATCCACGTCCTTCTGAAAAGAAGTATTAGGTGTCAGAGTAGTATCCAAGCAGGGTTCTCAAATGTGTCGGAGCCAAAATAAAATATTCCAACAGTTGAATGGAGTGTCCAACACATGTAATCACACAATGTATGAGTGTCAATGCAGTGTCAGCGCTACAGTTCATGCCAAATTTCTAGAAACCACATTATGCTAGAGAACAATAGTTTCAAGATATGAAATATTCATATTGACAAATAGGGGGTATCCAAAACAACCATTTCCATAACTTTCTACATACTTGCCTAGGTTTCTTGCGTTCCCTCCCAAGGGTTGCAAACCGATGAGCAGTCACTGTTAGAGCATCATTAGTTGATGCAGAAACAGAAGGCAAATCAATATCCACTGGAGTAAGAAAAGCTTCACCATCACTATCTTCCCCGTCACTAGAAGATAGCACATATGCAGAAGGACTCTCATCAGCAATCCAATCATCAAGCATTGGTATGTCAAATGAATCCTGTAAAGATAAATGCCATGACACTGAACCAACCTTGATAAATCACAATTCATGGCAAAAATGATTTGCTAGAGCCTTATAGTAAACTCATAAAGTTAAATTCCATATATAAACCCTTGCAGCATCTGAATGTGAAAAAATGCACATCATCATATCAACTCCACAACTATCATTAGTCGAAGAGTCCAGAGCAATTGTTTGTCAAAACCCTAAACTTTTACACAGTGTGACTAATCCAAAGCACTTGTTTGTCGAAAGACAAAACTCATATGCAGTTGACGTTATTATTGTCAAATCAGAATCAGAATTTCACCTTTTATTTCAGATAATAATGATTTGCATTTAGCACCTAAGCTCAAAATTCTCAACGTAGTTAAAATAATATGTTAGCATTTATCATTCATACAATTGTTTCTCTAAAACTAATCATCTCTCAAACTCAAAATTAGAGACTAAGGGATTACGGTTTCAGACTTTCAGAACACCAAGCAGCTCCACCGAGTAGTAGTTAGAATCGTAAGAGTGAAGCCACAGTAAAACTATAGAAAATAAAATAAAGTTGAATTTCAGAGAAGCAAGAAGGAACCTCGTCGAAGGCTCTAGTAGGAAGAAGATTACGAAGAGCGAGGCATTTATACTGCTGAAAAATCAACGAGTGTAACTGCAGAATTGAACAATAAACGAAATCACATGCAGGATAAACCTAATAATGATAACATCATAAAGTATTGTATAAAGGCAGAGATCAGCGGGAAAGTACCTCGAGATTGGCGCAAGCGAAGCGCGAACGGGGAGAATAGGAGAGCGAAGTGGTTGGAGGGAGAGAGAGGCGTTTGCGAGGGAGAGGGAGAGGGAGAGGGAGAGAGCGATGGCGGTGGTTGAGGATGCGAGAGTGAGAAGGCATGGATGCGAGAGAGTTGAAGAGGAGATAGATCTGAGAAAGAAGGAAATGGCGATGGAATGGACGCGAGTATATTCCATTCCGTGGAAGGGAAATGAGCGTTTTATATATACAGGGAGGGAAAGTGTCAAATGGCGCTACTTCGAAATCATCGCGTCGCCGAAACCGTTTCTTCGGTGGGCTCACTTCGCTTTACCAATCGCCACGTGGAAACGTGCTTCTGATGCATGCCTGCGTTTGGCACAGGGAGGGGGTGTCTTTCTCTCGAGTTAGGCTTTTCTTGGTCATTTATGTTCAAATCTGCTTCTAATTCTGTTTCTAACGCATATTCCGTCACGGAGAAGATATTTTGCATTTTTGTATTGGGTAAGCTAGCAAGAAGACTTCACTGTGAGCTTAAAATTAATTTGCTTATTTATTTGTAGGCCAATTTTGGTTCAGCCTCCATGTTTATATATGAGTATTATTATTAATTTATTTTCTTACGAGTTGACATAAGTATACTTATGTAACAAATTTTCCGCATCATATTTCTTGTTAAAAAGACAATGGTATTTTATTATAATTATTGGGGCTAAAATCCCACAATCTTTTTAAAAATATATAGACTAAAATCTAACAATATAGACCAAAAGTACATTAAACTAATTAATTTATAATGTTAAACATAAGTACAACGTGGTTGAGCTAACTCTTGCTTTCCGTTCCTATTATCGGCTTTTGGAAATCTCAAGGGCTCCTTTCAATTTCATGATCTATTTATTGATTGATTAAGTTGAGCAAATTTGACTTTCACACATATAAATACGGATAAAGCATAAAATACTTTATCCAGTTGCATTAATATTCAAATGAAGATTAGACACCGGAAATCACGAGTTTTTGTTCTCTGTCGAATAAAACAGCTGTGTATCTTCAAGGGAAAAAAGGAAAAAGACCTATTAAAAGAAAGAAAAACTTCTAATTTATGATTGAATTTTCAAAATTTGGAAAATAAGATAGGGCTCCACTACACGCCCAAATCACCCAAAGAGGAACATCAAGAGCCCCACTTAGCTGGCCCAACTCAATAGTTTTATCTCTCTAAAGCCTGATTTTGATACTTAGTGGGCCGAGAGATTGGCTATTTCGCAATGCTGACTGGATTCTCTGAATTGGATATGAGAAAATCTCTCTAGTTAAATATATTAGAGAAATTCTACGCACCTTTATAAATTTAAAGGATTTTCGGAATTATTTATTTTTTATATATACAATACGTGAATGTTTGATTTTCAATAAATTTATCCTTTTCATTTAAATATATATATATATATATATATATATATATATATATTACTTTTTAATATATACACGAAATCTTTAGATCAGTAAAAATATTTTTAATAATTTTATAAACTATAATGAATTGTGATTCTTCACATTTGTGTTATTAATATTTTCTAAGGATTATTTATATTTATAAGTTTCAGAATAAACTCAAGAGATCATGAAAATCAATTTAAATAGAAAATTCACTATCTACTTTAGAGAACAGAATCTTATTATATTTTGCTTGATGTTATTTTGATTTACAAAATAAGTTTAATATTAGTCTATATTTGGTGAAATGGAAGAGTAAATTGACTTAAATTATCCATTTGTCAAGAACACATTACTTTGAAGAAGAAAAAAAGTAAAAGTAAAAAATAAAATAAAATTCACACGTTACTTTATTTTTATTAATTTAAACAATTAAGCTTATAAAAATATTTATAAAAACATCTAGTTTATATGGTACCCGTAATAACTCCCAAAATATTATTGTCCTTCCGCATGTTCTCTCTTCCATTTTTCCCCCTCTAACCCTTAATTATCATAAACAACCCTTTTCTATATTGGAAACTGCAAATAAAATATAGAGAACCGAAAGTGTTCTCTTGTTATAAAAATCATCGATTATATATATATATATATATGCATTACAACTACATATTCCTATTTTAATTTCTTAATCCAATACACCCCCTTATTTTCCGATGTAATTTTTGTAAACAAATAACTTTTACTCTTTTACCCAATACCACTTTCAAAGTTTCAAGATCAGCGACCCATGTAATTTTTGTAAACAAATAACTTTTACTCTTTTACCCAATACCACTTTCAAAGTTTCAAGACCCGGTGAGCATTATGATGTCAAGCTAGAAAATTTCAAATAGTATCAAACAGCTTTCTTTCATCCCCATTAACAATAGGATTTTGTTACATATTCCTCGTGAGGTGAGGATTACCACAGCAAAAGCAGTTCTATCTTTCCCAACCTAATGACCTTATAATGGGTATGTACTTCACCAATACTTGCTTTCACCGACAGAGATACAAAATTTAACAGTCCAACAAACCCTTCATTGTTGACTCGAGCGAATACGCATAGGAAGCCAAGTTAAAACTAGTGCATCACTAAAACATTGGAGAAGATACTGCTGCTAAAACACAATCCGTCGTGTGTGGAGTCAAATCTTGCTAATTCGAAGCAGGGACAGGAGGCCGACCTCGTCCAATTGCAAAGCCCCGTGTTCCATCAGGCATTCTTGGCCCAGGAGGCGGCTTTGATGCTTCAGCTGCATGAGTTGATGGTGTATTTCCATGGCCTGGGGCAATGAAACAGGTTATGACAAGTACAAGGATTCAAAAATTAATAATTAAATGAAACTGGCAAAATATATCATATTTACCCATTCCATTTCCGGAGCGATATTTATGTTTTCTTGATCTTCCTTGATTTCTATACCTCTGCCCACCTTTATCCTGTAATGAAAGGGAAGCAACAGAAGCAAATGTAAACAACAGCAGCACTAACTATTGGAAAAAACCTAAGTAGCACATCGATTAAAAATAAAATAATTAAAGAGTATATAAGTAGAGAGCAATTGATTTTGTAGGATTGAGATATGCTCAAACCTACTATTCTAAGACTAATAACAAACATAAAAGGGTTTTGAAATCATGAGAAAAGGATAGCAACCAGGGGATATGAATCTTCTCTATAGTTTCAAAAAGAATTGTAAGGTGTGCAGCTGCGAATCCAATCATTAAAATTAATTAAATTTACAATATTAAAATATATTTAACAGATGGGATTCAAAAGTAGTTCCCTAGTAACTGACAAAATATTGCAAAACCCCTTCGGATTGTTGTAGTACCTGCTCTCCATTGCACTACTAACTGCATCTTACCACTTGGTATATTTGGCAAATTTGTCTTATCATTTTAAAATTATTTTCTGTTTTAAAAATTTATATAAAAAATAGTAAAAAATCCTATTAAAAAAACAACACACTATTAGGGTGTCACATATTACTAACAGATAGGATGCTGCTATTAGTGAAAAACAAATGAAGTACATACATCTTCCTCGTGTGTATCTTCCTTATGCTCATTTGAGCCATGATTCTCCTCATCTCCTGTTTGTTCAAATACAGGGCTTGAGCTATTCTTTTCGGCATTAGATCCTTTCCAAGCTTGTTTTTTGTGTCCATACTTCCCCTAAATTATAAAATCACTATCAACACCTTTTACAGTCACAATTAATCAAATAAAGAAATCTGTAACTAACCATTTGCTTGAGTAGTTTAACACGCATGCCATTTCTCCAGTCCTGTTCATTATTTAACATAGCCACCTAACCCAGGATTGATGTGGCAAGTTAATCATCCAGACAATAAAAGTCCCAAATCAATATATGAAAGAACATAAACTGAAACTCACAGCTTTCTCAGCAGCCTCAATAGACTCATATTCCACAAGAGCATGCAACTACATAAGTGAAGTAGGTAGATAGTGTAAGTGCGAACAAAGTTAAATAAGGCAATGAAGGCACAAATGGCAAAGAATAAAGCAAGACTTAACAATGAAAAGGCTGATATCGTCTTATGGGTTAGTTTAAGAAAGTACACAAGATGATTATATAAATCTATCATCACTCAGCATTCCAGACCATGTATCGGCAGGGTTGATGTTGCTGTCGAAAGTAATAGGCAAAAGAATAATCTTATATAACTAAATCATGGTAGATGGTGGATTACACTCTGAAAATCTGAAAATCGAGACCAAGCTGCATCACCATTTTTTTTTTCACATTTCACATCCAAATCAAGCACCAGAACTAATATCTAACTGACCAGGAAAAATTAAATACACAAATAGGCAATGACAACCCCTGGCTATTTTGGAGAAGAATTATCTAAAAGGTGGACATTTACTTCATGTTCATGAGCAATAAGAAGAGTTTTTTTTTTTTTTAAAGGTGGAGGAGGACTAGAAAGATGCAATTATTGCAGCCTAGCATGCATCATCTGCAAATACAATTTTTTTCATGGATACCCTAGCTGGACTAAGGGACAATGAAACCATCAAAACATGAAATCATATCAGCATTAGAAAAACAAAAAGAATTTTAAAAGGAAAAAATATAAAATGCAGTCATGTTGTAATTCATTGATGAGACAGCTGAAATCTTCTAATGGAAGTTTTAGTGAAAGCAACAATACATTGAAAGATGAAAGAAAAGTCCATATTTAAAGTTAGCTGTTAATGTTTGATGGTTTCGCACCTTATTACTAATTAGCGTGTCTTGCTTGATATGTCTTGCAGACTCTGAGGTAGAATGAGGGTCATGAATGCTTATCCTCTTTATACTGCATATTAAAGAAATGTTAACATTGCAGATTTGAAACCATGCATACAAAAGCACATTTTAAGAAAAAAACCATACTTTCCAGCTTCATGGAATATTTGTTGAATGTTCTTCCTTGAATGATCCTCAGGCAAATTCTCCACCAGAACAGTATATAACTAGAGTCAAAGAATAAGTTCCTGGTTAAAAGAGAACAAATTAAAGAGTAGTAGCAAGCTCCTTTAAATAAATACCTTATGATCTCTAGATTCATTCAAACGAAGTGGATTGAGCCGCTTGACCCTTTTCCCGTCACCACTAACAACCTGCAGTCCCCATGAAAAAAAATTTCCTTAGTACTTTAAGTATAGATTGCAATGCAGTTCATGTTAACAAAACAAGGAAGAATCATACAAATAATGAAGACTCCTTCAGTGCATCAACAATGAGTGCATGGTCTCTTGTGAGCTTCTTCATTTTTCTAAAAGAAGCAATTACTGATATAGGAACTGCGTGAACAGTGTAAGTAGGATTAAATGATAGTATATACAAACACATGCATGTAGCAATGGACAAATAATAATGATAACTACACAAATAGTTTAGAACTAGGATTAGCCAAATTAAAAACAAAAGGCAATAGATGCTTCATTGTTTATCTGAATAGGTTACAGTTCAAATTTAATGCATGCTAAACTGTGGGCATACATGCATTTCTTAGATAATGCTTTTCAGATTAAATAAACAATTATCACTCTGCCAAAATTTCAGCAAAGTTTCCACATACATTTAAGTGCTGAATAAAAGAGTAATCCAGAAAAGGCTCTACATAATTAATATTACTTTATTACAAGGGCGTCAATAATGGCTTATTACATTCAGTTTAGCATATAAGGTGGGCTGCCACAATTGCTACACCTTTCAATCCACAATTCCACATCACTGATCAATTTTTCTATGATGAACTCTAACAGATCACCTGAACTCTAATATATCCTGCATAACCCAGATTATTCCACACATGACACTAACATATTCAGCTTAGCGGCCACCAAACTAATTTATTTTCCAACCATCGAGAACCCTCTAAAACGGATACACAAAAGGCAGCAACAGCACAATACACAATACATGCAAACCAGTGAGGCAATAAAAAAGAGGTTGCAGATCAAATTGGTCCAAGACACTTAAAAGACGCATCCCTTACCAAACCCTTCCTTGTTCCTCTTGACAAAACCCAACAGATACTTATCGGTGGGCAGGTTTTCATCGCTGAAATAATACCCCACCTGCAAAATCAACACAAACAAGTCAGCAAAGCATGTCAAGGAACCAGCCAATAAAGAAGCACATAAAGTATCCAAACAGCAAAACCTAGTAACCGCGGGAACACGATATTCCTAGGGTTTCAACCAAACAAGTGAAATTCTACACCAGAACAATTTCCAGACTTGAATTCTACAACTAAGTAGTACGGAACGAGAATTCCACAGAAATGACAAAAAGAAAGCAATTGTCTGTTCAAGAAAAGTTGAAAGGGAGAAGAGGCGTTGCCTGCTTAGCGATCTTGAGCTTGAGATCGTCCAAGGAGAGAGAGGCCACGGCAGCGTGATCGCGGTCCTGGTCCTCGTGGAGGTCATGCTCGTGATCGTTGTCGTTGCCGTGGTCATGTTCATGTTCATGTTCATGCTCTTCGTCTGAAATCGGAGCGTGAATTTCGGGTTCCGCAACGACGTCGTCCGACGCAGCAGCGAGACCGGGAGCGCCGACAGGATCAGCGAGCGGAGGAGGCGAGGCGGTGGGATGGCCGGCGGTTGAAACAACGGCGGCGACGGTGGCCGAAGGGAGAACCTGTTCGTCGCCTTCCATTGAGGAGAGATGAAACTCTCCACCGCTCTCTTTTCCGTTCTTTCTGTCTCTCTCCACAGTCTTTCCGTTTCTCAGATCAGATCCTTTTATAGGCGAAGATACTTGTTGACATTTTGCTTCGGTCATCACCATCGTGTTCACATCAACCCTTTTTTTTTTAATGAAATAATAAATCAACGGATTTTCATTTCTTGTATTTTCCTTTCCCCCACCTATTTAAAATAATAGCTGTGGATTTCATTTAAGGAAAAATCATGTATTTTAATTCATCTCACCTGGCATTAAAAGAACAAGAAAATACAGTATATGGCTATTTTTAACATAATAATGAAAATAATAAATTTACCATGGAGATTTATAATTTATTGATTTTATTTATAAAAAGTTAAAGGGATAATGTTACACGCAATATATTTAATATTTATGGACAAATTAAAATGGTAAAAAGGGGGAGTGCTTTTTGAGAGTGCAAAGGTGTAAAATGAAAATGGTAACGTGATGTAAAAAATTAAATATCTGATGATGAAATTATGAGAATATTAATATGAAATATCTGTTAGTAATATCTCTCACGAATAACTATACATAATTTAGGAGTATTCTTCTTTTATTATAATCTATTTCATAATTAAAGTTATTTATTAAAAAATTGTTTAATTAATCTAATTTTTTATTCAATCTAATTGAAAATTGATTTAATGATATTTGTTAGCAGAAGAAATGACTTTTTTTGTAATCAATGAAAATCACTCAAATCAGATTAAAATTGTGTAAAAATTCAATTTTATCCGATATTTTAAAAACATGTTTTGTATTATTAATTTAATCTAAAACATTTTAAAGATAAATGATTTTTTTTTTAAAGTTACACATGTACAAATTATTTCACCAATTATTATTAATTTTTAATCTTTTATTAGAACATAAATTAAATTATTTATAGTAATTTACAATTTTTGTATCTCCATTTCTTATATATTTATATTATTTTATTACTTAGAATATTATATAATATTAAATATAAATTTAATTATTACTAGCTCCACAATAACTTAATCACTATTGTAACATCTGTTTTAGTGAAGAGGGGTCGAGCTGCTAGCTTTGTTTATAGTTGTTGCGGTTTTTATCATTTTTAACAAGATAGATGAAAGAACTTGGACTTGGTGTCTTCATGAGAGTTGTAGGAAATCTTATTATCTTTCTTATGAGATAAGGATGAGCATGGTAGGAGTAGTATAACTCCTGATGCGCTGTTTTCTATGAAGGTTGCCATTTCGCATTTAGTGATTTGGTTAAGTTGAAAGTTGTTATAGGTGCTTAGACTGATTGGTGTTGTGTGGGTGGGTAAATTGACAAGATAGATGAGTTGTAAACAAGATGGTTGGGTCGTATTATGTGTTGATCATGCTGTTTTAAGCTGTTAATGATGAATGTTGTTGAGCTGAGCAATGATATTGATGTGCTGTGCTGAGCGCGACCCTTGTCGCGCTGGGCGTGAGACTCCTTGGGAGTCTCTGCCTCGAGGGCGCTGGGCGCAATTTGGTTTGCGCTGGGCACGAGACCAAGGGAGGTCTCTGCCTTACTTGCGCTGGGCGCGGGTTGGGGCACGCCGGGCGTGTGAGACTCCTTGGAGTCTCTGCCTGGCCTGCGCTGGGCGCAATTGGGTATTGCGCCAAGCGCGAGAGAGTTTTAGACTCTCTGGCTAAGTCTCGCCGGGCGCAGGCACGCTTGTGCCGGGCGCG